TTTTTCTTGGCTGAATAAATCTTTATATTTCCCTCACGATCATGCAATAAATGTATAATGTAACAAGGATGATAATGTAATAATGAGTAATGTAAAAAGCTTTATGTGTAAGGTAACAAGGATAATAGTATAATAATGTGTAATGTTTCAAGGATAATAGTGTTATTATGTGTAATGTGTAACAAGGTAAATGTGTAATGTAACAAGGATAATAGTGTAATAATATGTAATGTACGTATTGTATAAGCAGACATTTTAGCGAGGATTCAATTTTAACATTTTAAGTGAGGTTGTTGAGATCGCTAAAATTTAATATCACTAACAATTCATTCCAAATCGGAGTTTATCCTTATTTTTCTTTGTATCATAGTCTCAAAAATTATTTCTCGTTAAAAAAAATATATTGACTTTTTTGGAAAAATTGCTAAATTTGGGTCTCGCTGAAAATTCCACTTATACGGTAACAGGTTGTAGTGTAATAATGTATTATGTAACTAGATGTAATTATTTGTTATAAAACAAGGTTTAGTGTAATAATGTGTAGTGCATTTATGTGTTAATATGAAACAACTTGGAAGGTGTTTAATAAGGACTAGGAATCTCAAATTTAAAAATATTCTCGGAAGTGTTTCACCTAAAGTGATATGAGTGCTACAACTGACATGTTATATGTGTACATTTAGGAATCAGTGTCTTTCATTAGCATCAATGATGAATTAAACCCTCCCTTATTATTTGTATAAGAAGTGTTTTGCTTATTTTACAGTATCTAAGTCAGTAAGAAGACGATTAATGTCCTCTCTTAGTGGCTATTTGTCTGTTAAGAAAACAGATCTTCTCAGAATGCTCTCTTTCATCAAGATACAAGGTATTTGTATACTTCATATGTTTGGCATTCAAAAAACATAGATTGATCCCATTAAGTTCCTGATGTGTAGAACAATTTGTTCTGTGTATGAGTGAGAGCATGCATTTGCTAATATACTGGAATAAATGCAACTCTCTTAGTAACATCAAAAAGGTCTGGTACAATGTGTTGTCATTGGTCACATAGATTGCCTGTAAAACTGGAAGTCTTAGTAAATCTGAGGATGCAAAGAGAAAAAAGTGGCAATATCTTTTTTTATTCCAAGCATTATCTGTGAGTTTTTATTGATTGCAGGTCTCTAATCAAACAGTAATACAGGGGTCTGCTCACTATATATATATCCATCAGAAACCAAAATCATGCCTTACTTATGATAGCACTCTTTTTTTGGAAAGAAAAAAAGTTATTGTACCAGTTAAAGAGACAATTTAAGATTTGATACTTTAGCATCATCATGATACAAAGGGTGAATATCCAGTCAAGAGATTGTTTAGCAGGCAGAGGGCTTCATTTGTCCCTGAGTCTAGTGTCTTAGTAGTAGTTTATGATGGATCTTACCAAACGGTACCATCTGGTGACGGAACATTGAAGCCTTACAAACACGAGGGAGTATTAGGACTATACTCTAAGGTTATAGTGACGATATTCCTGATCTAATGGCCTTGTTTGTACATGTATTGTGGCTATCCAATCTTTTGAAATAATGAGTCTTTATGGCAAACAAGAGGGAAAAAAAGAGCACACTTCTCTGACCTCATGGAACTGTAGGTCTTTTCTGCTGCTGGATATGAAGGAAAAGCTGCTATCTAATTTAGCCTAAGGCAGTCAGAAAGTTTACAGTTGTAAAGAATGATCGTAGCAAAAATATTGTGTATACCAGATATAAACCAAATATTATCATGCTTCTGTATAAATATGAATGTTAAGCTTTTGTTGGAACTGAATTAAATATAAGTACTAGCTGGTATATTGACTATAGGTTTGCATTACTATTTAATGCAGTATTGCTTAGACAATGTCAGCACATACATTTTAAGTTTAGGAACTGACTTTTTTATACTGATATTAGAGATTATTTTTTACTTCTTTATCAAGTTTTATCTTTAAGAATTATTTTTTTTTATCTTGTGTAGACATATAACTATCTAGATTTCAGAGTCACTAGTGTCTTCCTGTGTGATGTATATAAACTGAACAAATTCTAGACTTTTTTTTAAAATAAAAGTTAAACTACACTTCATCATACACCCACAGGATTTGACTTTAAGACAAGATAGCTTTTCAGTGGCTCTTTGGATGTCTCGGTTTTCAGACATCTGCCAACTAATGGGCAACATTTCCTGGAATAAATGCTATTCATGTGTAGGAGAACTATCAAATACAAGAAGACAATGTTTTTTGTGATGGATAATGAAAAAGACTGAAATTTCACTCCATATTAGACTTTGCTTTATATTCAGGAATCAATTCTTTAAAGATATAACTTTTTATCACATGTTTACCCCTTTATCCCGTGGATATCACTCATTGGATATTTTTTCATATCCCACTGCTGTGACGCCGCAATGGGTTTGGTGTGAAAGTCAGATGAAATAAAATAAAGTGAATTCCTATATAAAAACAGTGTAAAATATTGAAAGTGATGCATAAAACATGGAAAAAAAAGAATCTCCCATGATTTGTAGCTGGATATGATTTTTATCCAACTCGTTGTGTGTTTTATCCCCTCGCCAAGGCTCAGGGATAAAGAAAAAACCACACAACTCATTGCATAAAAATCATATCCAACTACAAATCATGGGAGATCTTATATTTAGCTCACCTTGCTGAAGTCAAAATAAACTTGTGCTCTGCCCCTTCTACCACTGCCAATAGTGTCAGTGTCCCAGTTGAAACTCAAGGAGCAGGTCTTAGACCAAATTCCCAAGTAACTATAATTAAGTCCTTAGCTTGGACCAAACTTGCATGGATGATGCATCTAGGAATGTACACTACCAGACTTGTTTTGATGCTGGATGTGACCTAATTTTCCAGATGAGAGACCCGGTTTAAGGTTTTGAGAGCAGTTCATTTTCAAGTGACTATAAAGCTATATGGTGACCAAATGTGTATGGATAATGCATCTAGGAATGCACACTATCAGATTTGTTTTGGGAGACCTACATTTTCTGGATGATGACCAAGTTAAAGTTTTTGTAGCAAGTATAAATAGTAAACCCTTGAATGACCAAACTTACATGGATATTGCATCTAGAGATGCACACTCCCAGACATGATTATTGATGATGCTGGATCTTACCTAAATGATGATTTAACAAGTTAAAGTTTATGAAGCAGGCCATTACAAAGTAATTTTTAGCTTTCCTTGACCAAATTTGCATGGATGTTGCATCTAGGGATGGACACTACCATTAAAAATCATTTGATAAGAGACTTTGTCTTATGTATAGAAAACAATCATGAAGGTGAACTTTCTGGTCAGTGATAACCCATGTTTTTTTGAAAGTGTGTCTCTTCTCTTGAGACTAACAGACAATGGAAAAATGATCCACTAAAATAAGAGCCTACTTGCACTCTGATCAGGAAATGGTCTGAATGAAATTGAAGCTGTAAAAGACATTAAAAAAGCAAAATAGAGTATTTTTTCCTTTCCATATGGATGTCACTTTCATTATTTAATAGGATGATGTTGGAGAAGACATATCCATCACTATTGAACGTAAAAAGAACTTAAGACCAAAAATTACAATTTTTTTTTAATGGAGGTACATTTTTAATGGACTTGCACCACAATTGCAGAATTATAGATCCATTACTTCTAAAATGGGGATAATTTTTTTTCTTTTGTATAAACTTAGTTGAAATAACCCCACCTCATTCACTGTTCACTTTTCAAGTTGTGTTACTTAATCTCATATTTGAAAAAAAAAACCCAGAATGTTATTATTAAACAGAATTCTATGTCAGTGAAGTATCACTTACAAAAAGGCTCAAGGGACATGAGGCTCACCTGGGTCACGTGTTAGACAAATCACAAATTTAAACAAATTTAATGTATACCTTAATATAATGTCTACATTTCAATTTGATAATGCATAGTGTTGTTTCTAAGGAAGTTGACAATAATCAAGTTGAACATGAAACTCTCAAGTTTTACCTGAATGACTTGAACAAACTTGAATGTACACTTCATATGAATGTATGCTAATTACCAGAATGAGTCCTAATCCTTCCTTTTTATTTATTGGAAACCAATAGCTTGTACTTTTGTATTCAGTCACCAACAAGATTGATCTAGAGGCCTATGGGCTTCTGAACTCTTCTGAATTTCTTGCACAAATTTTAATGTTTGTGTTCATTTGTTGGTAAACTTATTTTTAGCATACAATTTCTTCCACATATTCCTTAGAATGTGATGGAAACAATTTGAACAGTATTACACAATTAAGAATACTCAGAAACTGACTTATTTCTTTTAATGAAGAAGCATCATTTTTTGTCATTTTTGAGACAAGATTAGACCAGCAGTTGTCACCGCCATATTAGGCCGTGTACAACAAGTCACAGGATTGTGTCAGTTTTGTTTAAAACATTGGAGAAATCTTAATATGCCATAATGGTCTTGTACAAAATGAGAACAGCTGTTGAATTGTTACATTACAAGGACAGATTCTAAGATACAAGGCAGAATCTATCTGTATGGTTAGACACTGTATGCAGGTCTCGAAGGTGATTGATGAAAAGGTCAAATAATATCAGGTGTAGACATAAGTAAATTAAAAAGACAAGTTTAGGGTCAGAATCTGAATCTAATTTTCAACAGTACCATTCTTTGGCTTTGATCACCTGTGAATGAACTGTGAGTGGAGCAGTTAACATGCACCACATGCTTCCTGTTTTGACATAAAGAAGAACTACAGCCAGATCATATATCACAAGGAGACCATTAAACACAACATTTCCCTCTGTATCTTTATTGAATGAATTCAGTTAGGTTGTTTATCCTGAAAAGGCTGCCATCATTTAAATTTGTAAATTGGAGGGAAGACTTTGCAGGTTATTAGGAGTGCAGTCATTATCACTTATTAATAATCATATACAAACTGGTATATTTTTCATTTATTTCTTTCAGTTTAATGTTGGAGATGCTGCCAAGTTTAAGGTGTACAAATCAGACCAGTCTTCTGTGGATTTCAAGGTTTTCTACCAGGTAGGGTATCCCAGTAGTTACCAAGGTTTTCTACCAGGTAGGGTATTCCAGTAATTACCAAGGTTTTCTACCAGGTAGGGCATCCCAGTAATTAGCAAGGTTTTCTACCAGGTAGGGTATCCCAGTAATTACCAAGGTTTTCTACCAGGTAGGGTATCCCAGTAATTATCAAGGATTTTTACCAGGTAGAGTATCCCAATAAATACAACGGTTTTTCAACCAGGTAGGGTATTCCAGTAAATACCAAGGTTTCCTGTGAGGTAGGGTATCAGTAATTACCAAGGTTTTTACCAGATAGGATATCCCAGTAATTACCAAGGTTTTGATACAGTGTAAGCTTCTACTATGGCTTCATTAATTTACAAAGAAATAAACTGTTGACTAAGACCAAAACTCATTCTGCTTGAAATTTCATATATATTAAAAAATTGTTTCAAAAATTCTTCTTAAAAAATCTTATTAATGTCAAGAAGAAAGTAATTCACACAGTTATATTTGGGTTTTAGTAATTACATTTTTTCGTAAAATGTGACCAAGGTCTCTACAGATACTTTTATTCTTTTTCAAAATTTTCTGTTGTTTTTTTTCACAACCCAATCTTACATTTCATTCAAGCAGCATTTTTGGGACACCTTACCTGATGCAGATTGCCAAGGCTGGACCACAATAACCCAAAGTTGATCAAGAAAAAATGAATTGTTTATAAGATGCAGAAATAAGGCCAGTATTTGTGTGAAGGTTTTCAGTGCCCAATGGCATGATCAGTTGTACAGTTTATCATATGTTTGTAGGTTTTCAGTAAAGACATGTCCATGATCAGTGCTACGTTTATCATATGTTTGTAGGTTTTCAGGAAAGACATTTCCATGATCAGTGCTACGTTTATCATATGTTTGTAGGTTTTCAGGAAAGACATGTCCATGATCAGTGCTACGTTTATCATATGTTTGTAGGTTTTCAGGAAAGACATGTCCATGATCAGTGCTACGTTTATCATATGTTTGTAGGTTTTCAGGAAAGACATGTCCATGATCAGTGCTACGTTTATCATATGTTTGTAGGTTTTCAGGAAAGACATGTCCATGATCAGTGGTACGTTTATCATATGTTTGTAGGTTTTCAGGAAAGACATGTCCATGATCAGTGGTACGTTTATCATATGTTTGTAGGTTTTCAGGAAAGACATGTCCATGATCAGTGGTACGTTTATCATATGTTTGTAGGTTTTCAGTAAAGGACTGTCCATGATCAGTGGTACGTTTATCATATGTTTGTAGGTTTTCAGGAAAGACATGTCCATGATCAGTGGTACGTTTATCATATGTTTGTAGGTTTTCAGTAAAGGACTGTCCATGAGCAGTGGTACAGTTTTCATATGTCTGTGGGTTTTCAGTTAATAAGGCATGTCTGTGATCAGTGATATGTTTATCATATGTTTGTAGGTTTTTAGTAAAGGCATGTCGGTGACCACTGGTATGGTTAACTTTGGACAGAGTAAAACAGCCATGCTCTCTGTGACAGTCAGCAGATGGATGTCTCCCACGGCAACAGTAATGGTATACGGTGTATCCAATGGTTACCTGATTACTGCAATACAGAAAATCAAAGTCAATCTCAACTTAAACTCTCAGGTATAATGTAGAAATTGACCTCTATGAGACTCACAAGTGATCAATGATATACAATTATGGACTCTAGGAGGTGAATATGGTTTAATATTCACCAGAAAAGTATCCATAGTAGATGCACATCAAACAGTAGGAATTGAAAAATCATTGAAATCTTTGTACCAAGGATGACATGAAGTTGCACTCTAATCTGTTTATGATATTGGAACAATATTTGATCAGTGTATCATGTGCGGTGGCAGTCCTTTTTTTTAAATTGCAAAAATCCATCCATATACATTGGACATGGCAAGCTTCCCAGGTAATTCTTTATGGTCTTGATACATGATTTCTACTATTTTTGCAGGCTAGAATGTCTTTTGGGACCTCACGGGCGACAGTGGGGTCAGACGTCACACTCCGAGTGACCACACCTGAACAGAATTCCTTTGTGGCTGTGGTGGCCATCGACAAAGGATCCGATCTTCTTGGAACTATTGATATCACAGAGAAAGAGGTATTGGTACACAGCAATTTGAAATTATCATGAGTCTGGGAAAATTGTGAAAACTATACTACTTACATTGCTTTTTGATTATCAGATTTTAAAAGGCTTAGAGATGTATGCTATGGGAAATAATCCAGTTAATGGACCTATTGTCATGAACAGGAGAAAGAGAAGTATTATCAATCCTTACTACCGATCCTACAGCACAGCTAAGATTCTTAGAGTGAGTATAACGAGCAGGCTCATACAGGCTACACAAACTCATACAGGCTCATACAGGCTACACAAACTCATACAGGCTACACAGGCTTATACAGGCTATGCAAACTCATACAGGCTCATACAGGCTAGACAAACTCATACAGGCTACACAGACTCATACAGGCTATGCAAACTCATACAGACTCATACAGGCTACACAAACTCGTACAGGCTACACAGACTCATACAGGCTATGCAAACTCATACCGGCTCATACAGGCTACACAATCTCATACAGGCTACACAGGCTTACAGGCTACGCAAATTGTCAAATGTTGTGTCTGTGAGTGAGTATAATAAGTACAGGCTCATACAGGCTACACAAATTGTTAAATGTTGTGTCTGTGAGTGAGTATAAGCACAGGCTCATACAGGCTACACAAATTGTCAAATGTTTCTGTGAGTGAGTATAACCACAGGCTCAAACAGGCTACACAAACTCATACAGGCTACACAAACTCATACAGGCTACACAAACTCATACAGGCTACATAAACTGTCAAATGTTGTGTCTGTGAGTGAGTATAATAAGTATGGGCTTAAACAGGCTACACAAACTCATACAGGCTACACAGGCTAATACAGGCTACACAAACTGTCAAATGTTGTGTCTGTGAGTGAGTATAACAGATAAGGCTTAAACAGGCTACACAAAGTGTCAAATGTTGTGTCTGTGAGTGAGTATAATAAGCACAGGCTCATACAGGCTACACAAACTTGTACAGGCTACACAAACTTATACAGGCTACACAAAGTGTCAAATGTTGTGTCTGTGAGTGAGTATAATAAGCACAGAAGACTCGTACAGGCTACACAAACTGTCAAATGTTGTGTCTGTTAGTGAGTATAATAAGAACAGGCTCATACAGGCTACACAAACTCATACAGGCAACACAGACTCGTACAGGCTACACAGGCTCATACAGGCTACACAAACTGTCAAATGCTGTCCAACATATGACTTGAATTTTTACCAAAACATCATGAACTGATTGAAGCTTTCCTATACATGATAATTGATCATATTACAGCAAATGCACAACTTGTTCAATAATTAAATGATAAATTTAATAGTTGGAACTCACTTTGACTATTTCACAGGTGTTCCAACCTTCCTAGATAATTTTTACTGGAACTGGAATAGCCCTGACAGAGTGTAAATGGTACAAATTAATATTTTGTTTCAGATGGTTGGTGTAATGTGTCTGACGGATGCAACTATTCATGATGAAATAGACAGCTTCTTTGATTGTAAGTTAAGGCTAAGTTAGGCCAGTCAAATTTTCACAGGATACAGTAAAACTCGGTTATAACGAAGTCACTGGGACCTGTGAAATTACTTTGCTATATCCGTTATTCGTTATATCTGTAGAAGGAATTCGTAAAATTTATATAGCTGGGGATCCAAGAAAACTTTGCTATATCCGTGAATTCGCAATATCCGTGTTCGTACTAAACGACTTTTACTGTATTGCTTTTGTTAGATAAAACTAGCTTTTTTGATCAGATTTTATTTATGATAATTGTATGTCTTTCTGTGTGAACTTTTAATGTTGCTGACTTCTTATTTTTCAAAAAGGGGGGGGGGGGGTCTTTCACTTGAATTTTCTCTTCTAAGAAAGAGAGTGAATTACTCTGAAATGAGGAAATCAAGACTTCTTTAACTTGTGTATGTTCACTTACATACCCTGTTGCCCCGAAGTCCAGGATAGAAACAGAATAGTTTCAAATTTATATTTAATTTATGACTGTAATTTAGATCATTCACAGGTAGTGATGTTAAAATTTTGTCCAAATTGAAATCCTTAAAATTATTCTTCTCAAGAATGACCTGGCTTTAATTCATCAAATATAGACTAGCATTCTCATGGGTTGTACATTTAAGTTTTGGCCTTTCAATCTTCCAGAACCAGTTTGGGGCCATTTTAGAAAGAAAAATATTTTTATGCCCTGCCATGAAAATGACCAGGGCATATGGAGTTTGTCGTGTCCATCTTCCATCCTTCAATCATTCCGTCGTGCTTTGCGTTTAGCTCAGTTAAAAGCTCAGTTTCAAAGAAACTTTTCAAGATATTTTTATCAAACTTCATATGCTAATAGATATTGATAAGAGCTATTCAACTGCATCAACATTTTTTGACCTTGACCTATCATTTGACCTTGACCTCACTTTTCTTTTAGTAGTGTTTAGCTCATTTTTAAAGATATCATTCATGAGATTTTTGTCAAACTTCATATGCTAATACATACTGAGGTAAGCTTTCCAACTGCATCAATATTTTTTTGACCTTGACCTCACTTTTTTTAAATTAGTGTTTACCTCAGTTTTAAATAAACCATTCAAGATATTTTTATCAAACTTAATATGCTGATGCGTATTAGTGAGAGCTATTCAACTGCATCAAAAACTGTTGACCTTGCACTTTTCTCTGACCTTGACCTCACTTTTCTTTAATTTGCATTTTGCATAATTTTAAAGAAATCATTTAAGATATTTTTTGTAAGCTGATGCACTAATACATAATTTGGTGAGAATTCATCATCTATATCTAATTTTTTAGATTTCAATTTTAATTTAAAAGAAACTATTCAAGATAATCTCATCAAATTTCATACACTAACACAAATTTTCATGTTGCATTACTAATAAACACTTGGTGGGGCATTCATGTCCTGTGGACATATTTCTAGTTTTGAAATGTTTTCTTCAAATAAGCAGCAAGTCATTAGATTTCAAGAATGTTAAATAGAACTTAGGTCATTGTATGTGGATTCAAATTATAATTCCTGAATGTTGAAAAATGTCTAAAGTTTTATATATATCAAGAACATAATCAGAATTATATATGATATCCAGCTGAACAAATGTGTCATCTTTAGACGTTGTCAATGTATCTTCACTGATCAATTTCAGATGACAGTTTTGTAAAAGAAGCAGCGGTTCCAGAGATGAATGATGGACAACCTGCTGTCCTTCCTAACCAAAAACAGATGCAACCTAATTCTGGAAGTGATGCCAAAGTCCGCAAAAACTTTCCTGAGACCTGGATCTGGCTGGATGGAAAAAGCGGGTCAGTTTATGTCAGTAATGCAAGAACTCTGTAAAAACAAGAAAACATTGCAAGTGAAGGCTTGAGACAAAGGTCAGATTTGTCATGGATCTGACATTATTCATAAATATACAGTAAAACCTCATTATCTCAAACTTGATGGGACCGAGAAAAAACTTCAAGATATCTGAGTATTCGAGTTATCAAGGGTAAAATACTTAAAGAATAAGTGGTTGAGACTTCAAAATCACTTCGACATATCCATGGTATTCAAGATATCGGTGTTCTAGATACTGAAGTTCAACTGTATATGTTATATATAATTAAAATACAGACTTGTATGTCCAAACAATCAACATGTAGATTGTTTGGACATACAAATCTGTATTTTAAAGTCTATGCCTCCTAGAACAAGTAAATACATACAAAGATTTACATAAGGTGAAAATTTTTTTTTAAAATTGGATTACGGATTTTTTATTTTATAAATTGGGTCGGTAGGTCGAAAAAAAAATTAAAAAAAAAAAAAATTTGGCATACTTCTAAATAATCAAAAATAAAATATGCCATATGTTTTGTTTGATTTTTATTTCGTATTCCATGTACATATGCTTAAATTGATTCACAAACCGCTGTTAGACAAAATTTCCTGCTCAGTCGTCATGGCACATGTGACAGTGAAGTCACTCTCTACCATCGGCTCATACATTTACTGTGTGAGAGAGAAACAAACGACAATTCTGCAAGGTAGATTGCCATGAAGTGTGTATTCCAAACCTGATCAATTTTAAAACCGAAAGTACAAAAGTTAAGGTATCTTTTCGTGAATGAAACCAATTTATAGTGTTCTTGTCGAAATTTTTCACAGTTTGCAGTCATCTGAATTTTTAGCTCACCTCAACGAAGTTGGGGGAGCTTATGTAATACCCTCGGCGTCGGCATCCCAGGTTAAGGTTTTTGGAGCAGTTTTCTTTTCAAGTACTTCTATGGCCTATATTAGTCAGAGATGCATGGAGGATGCTTCTTGTGTGTTTCATTGTACCAGTCAAGGTTTCAGATGCTGCAATTTCAGCTAAATAATGACCAGGTTAATGTTTTTGGAGCAGGTTAAAGTTTTTGGAGCAGGTTAAAGTTTTTGGAGCAGGTCTCATTTCCAAGTAACTATAAGCCCTATATTGACCAAACTTGCATGGTTGATATATCTAAGGATGCACACTACTGAACTTGCTTCAGATGCTGGATCTGACCTACATATTCCAGATGAGGGACTAGGTTAAAGTTTTTGGAGTAGATCTCATTTCCAAGTAACTATAAGTCCTATATTGACCAAACTTGCATGGATGATACATCTAAGGATGCACAATACTGGACTTGCTTCGGATGCTGGATCTGACCTATATTTTCCGGATAAGTGACCAGGTTAAGGTTTTTGGAGCAGATCTCATTTCCAAGTAACTATAAGCCCTATATTGACCAAACTTGCATGGATTATACATCTAAGGATGTACACTACTGGACTTGCTTCAGATGCTGAATCTGACGTATATTTTGTGAATGAGTGACCAGGTTAAAGTTTTTGGAGCAGATGTCATTTCCAAGTAACTGTAAGCCCTATATTGACTAAACTTGCATGGATGATACATCTAAGGATGCACACTACTGGACTTGCTTCGGATGCTGGATTTGACTTACGTTTTCCGGATGAGTGACCAGGTTAAAATTTTTGGAGCAGATGTCATTTCCAAGTAACTATAAACCCTATTTTGACCAAACTTGCATGGTTGATACATCTAAGGATGCACACTACTGAACTTGCTTCGGATGCTGGATCTGACCTACATATTCCAGATGAGTGACCAGGTTAAAGTTTTTGGAGCAGATCTCATTTCCAAGTAACTATAAGGCCTATCTGAACCAAACTTGCATGGATGATGCATCAAGGGACGAACAATCTCAAAACTTGCTTTGGATGCTGGATTTGACTTACATTTTCTGGATGAGTGACTAGTTTTAAGTTTTCAGATAAGTCTATTCCCAAGTAACTGCAAGCCCTATCAGACCAAAATTGTATAAATGTTGGATCTAGGGATGCACACTCCTAGATTATTAGTTTAGTGTGGGACCTTGCCTTACTTAAAGACAACATTCGTTGAGGTGAGCTCTGTAATCTCTGACTACCTATGTTTTTCTTTTGTACTTCTTTTAATTTATGTCGGTCAGTAAAAAAAAATTTGGTAAAGTGCATTTTTTTTGTCTATAAGTCAAAAAAATTCGGTCGGCGGATCCGTAATCCAACTAATAAAAAAACGTTCGCCTAAATTATCAACCAGTTATGTATATGTCATATCATTGTTGCCATAATGACTGTATAATATCAGGGATGTTAACTCTACCAGTAAAATTGGGTACCATTGTAAATTGGCAGGCTACCTGTATATACTATATATGTAGCTATAAAACATGGGGCAGGTTTTCACACCTTGTGAACTTGGAAACTTTACAAACCCTTATTAGGGCCCCAATCTGCTGATACCCTATAGTGATCAGTCTATCCGTCCCATTTCATTTGTCCAAATATATTTTCTCTCTCCTTTTCCATATCTGGCTTAACCTTCATATTGATCAAGAGTCAGATGTCAAGATCAAAGTTCAAGGTAAAAAAAACAATACCTGACTGTGCTAAATCTTTTTCTTGAGAATATTTTCTCTCCCATTGGCTCTGTCTGGTTCATATTTCACCCATGGAGTGTCCTTAATAAAGGGTGTGCAGCAAGCTGAAACAAAGTTTATAGGTCAGAGGTCAAGGTCATAGTCAATTTCTGAAAAATCCTTGTCAGGAGCATATTTTGTTTCCCATTATTCGTATTTCACCCAAACTTAACCCAAAGAGTTCATATGGGTAGAGGGTGCAGTGGCTTTGAACCAATTTACTTGATCTAAGGTCAAAGTCAGAGAATCTCTGTGTTAAATCCTTGTTTAAAGCCCATTTTCTTTCCATTTGGCCTTATCTGGCTTATAGTTTACCCATGTATTGCCTGTGGGTTAAGGGTGTGCAGCAACTTTGAATTAAGTTTCTAAAAAGCCCTGCTGGTTGTGGTATCAGGTGTCATTGTGTATTGACTGGTCTCACATTTATCACAGCTCAGATTCCCTGTTTGAAGTTCAGAAGACATTACCCGACTCCATAACATCCTGGGTGACACGAGCTTTGGTTGTGAGTCCTACCACTGGCTTACACATACCGGATATCACTCAGGTAAAAACAGTCATTCATGTAATGATATCATAAAGGTAAAAACAGTCACTTGGGTAATCAGGCAGATATCACATGGATAACAACATGTCACTCTGGTAATCAGGCAGATATCACACAGGTAAGAAAAAATCACCTTGGTAATGATGCAGATATCACCTAGGTAAAAAGAGTCACTTAGGTACTGAGGCAGATATCATTTAGGTAAAAAGAATCACTCTGGTAATTGGGCAGATATCACACAGGTAAAAACAGTCACTCAGATAATGACACAGATATCAAAAAAAAAAATCAATTGGGTAATGAAGCAGATATCACATTGGTAAATTCAGTCACTCAAATAGTGAGGCAGATTTCACTCAAATAAAATCAGTCACTCAAATGATTAGGCAGATATCACACAGATAAAAAAGGTCACTCGGATAATAAGGCAGATATCACACAGATAAAAACAGTCACTCAGGTAATGAAGCAGATATCACAAAGGTAAAAACTGCAGTCACTCGAGTAAGAAAATGGATATCACACAGGTGAAAAAGAGCCATTCAGGTAATATGGCAGTAAGTAAAAAGAAATCAGAAACCCCTACCTGAGAATAAAATACACAAAAAATTCACAATATTATGTTGTGTATAAATTATTAAATAAAAATTTGTATTAGTTGCCATAAATCTCAATTTCAATTTCCATTGTAAGCATCAGTTTTAAATAGATACAATTTGAATATGTTTTAAGGAAAATCATGATAAAAAATACATTCATCAGCATATTTCAAAGTAGATATCAAGAAAGTTTGTATTAATTGCTATAGATTGAAAGCTTCAAGTCGTTTTTCCTGGTGATCGACACGCCAGCATCCATTATACAAGGGGAAGTGTTTGAAGTGAAAGTTCTGGTGTTTAATTATGTAGAAAATGGACCTGAAGAACTACAGGTAGTCAAACCTTTCCAGATCACAAAAAAATTAACAGTACATTATAAAGTTTTATTCCTTCAAGAATTGGGTCATTATATTACATGTAAGTAAGAAAAGGAAGACCCATAAAGTTGAAATTTAAAAAAAAAACAATGATTTGATTCGATGGATTTGATTTAACAGTGAGTGATGTTAATGTCAATTTAGGCCAATGTGTCCTTGAAAGGGAAGATAGACAACACAGCAAAGATCTGGAACGAAGATTTGGACAGGGAACCAGCCTCATCTGAGGGGGTCAACAAAACCCTGTTGGTCAGTTATGCCTTATCACTGCACATTTTGTAAATAATGAATATGAGATGCATATCTGTATAATAAGTTTTAAATTGAAATCAAGTTTTTGAAATCAGGAATTCAGGGAAGTATATTGTGAGCTCATTAAGTTTTTAGACTACTGATCATGGACCAGAATTAAGAGCTTTTACAATAGTAAAGTGTCCATCATTTGTCTAGCTCTTTTTCCCTTTTAATTTGGCATATAAGTAAACTGCACCAAGGTACACAATCCAGTGAATTGTAATTTTTTTTTTTATTTTGATGAATGATGTTGCCATATTTACAAAAATTTAGAAATTTCTGTGAAACTCTTAAACACTACGTTCCTGTAGTTTTGTTCCCATTTCAATAAAACATGGTACACAAGTACACTGCACCAAGATACATAACTCTGTGTGTCTGTGTTTATTCTCAATTAAAGTGTGGCATGATGATTACTGAAAAAAGATTAATGTCTGAATTATTTTGCTATATCCTTAATTAGTGGTATCTGTGTAATCAGTTCATTAAGAATATAGATAGCCAATATGCATGTTTACCTTCAAGTATGTCTACCCAATATATTCAGGGAAGGATTAAGTATAGAACCTGTCTTGGAGTACTGAAGTTTTCTAATGAAATGAATTTAAGAAAATGCTCCTTAAAATAATTTTAGTTCAATATTTTTTTCTTTTGGGATCAGTAAAAATTTAATATAATAGATGAAAATTGTATTATTTTTACCTCTATGGAACAAGGAATTAGTTTGTTATATCGATAGATTCGTTGTATCAGAGTTCATTATAACCATAAAATTTTATGATATTTGTTAAAATTTTGATGGGGCTCCCGAAAAACTTCGCTATATCCATATATTCGCTATATCTGTGTTTGCACTAAATGAGTTTTACTGTACATAATTCTGAAAATGATAAACTGAAAGAAGTCAAGTCCAGATGATACTTTTCCATTCCACTTTTACATGTACAAACCAGTAGAGCTACAGTAACATCAGAGACTTCTGGTTTTCTTTGTATGTTATATATGTCGATCTGATGATGTAAGTCAATTGGAACTGTAACTTTTTTTTCTATCTGGACAGGTCAAGCGAGGACAGTCCAACATGTTTGCTGTGTGGGTTAGAAAGATGGACACAGATAAGTTCTCTCCCCTGTTAACTCTGACCGGGAAGGCTACAGCAGAGAGCGGGGGACAGAATTACATGGATAATCTGGAGAAAGTGGTCAGTGCGGAGGTAAGGATATTAAGCGTATTAAAGGTAAGATGTACTCAAATTAATGTAATTAAAGATTTAACAGGATTCGAGGCTGTATAACTCAAAAAAAAGATATTAACAGTTAAGTTACAGTAGATATAATGAATAATGACATTAGCAACAATTGTTTAAAACATATATTAGCATCAATTGTTTTGAACATATTCTATTGATAGCATTTCAATGGGATTGGACCCAAGTTCTAAAAATTTAGTTAATTAATATATTATTTGGTTACATGAGCCAGCTGTCAGGTGACCTTTTATATTCTCCCATTCATAAACTTTTGAAACAGAACCACTGGGCCAATTTCAGCATAAATTGCCTCAAAGGATCCTTGGGAAATTCAAGTTATTTTTTTTTATTGACTTTACAGGCTCCTTTTCAAAGGGAGCTAATTTAGAAATGATAAAAAATAGAATTGAAATTTAATGACAAAAGAAAAGTGGAAGCTTATTTATTATATAGTTAAGATTCAGTAGTGTTCTAACCAAGCTACTGTCATGTACATATGATTAACCACAGACAGAAAGTTTTGTCTCCACCACCCACCTAATATGATGGAGGAGCCCCAATAATTAGGTTAATTTTTGAACCACACCTTTTTTAGTTCCCTAATAAAAAAAATAAAATGAAAACATAACTGCATATATGCAAGATATGGCCATTCATATGCAAAAAGGAAATTTTTCTACTTCTAAAAATGTATAATACGGATTACAGAAAAAAAGGGTATGAATGGGATAATAACAATATATATACAAACTGTCTTCAGAGAATGCAGGCGTAACAAGGCAACAAATTGTTGAATTATTAGTATTTCATCATGTGATGCAGATTCAATTGGTCACATTGTTGCCCTTTAGACCAAGAAGAGCTGTACATTACAAAGAAGTAGATAAGAAAAAGGACTGCATGACATGGCTCAGTAAAAACTTGAGTTGTGAGATTCCTGTGTCCTTTAGGCTCATTGCCCCTTCATGTATCTTATAAGCACTTTATATTTACCTATTAATACCTTGTCCTAAACTTTTATAGCCCGAGGGACGTCGAGTTCAGAAGACGAAAGTGTTTAACTTGGAGACAGCAGGTGGATCAGATATACCTCCTGTAAGCATCTGGTTCCCAGACAATGCAGTGAAGGGATCAAAGTCTGTCTATGTCTTGGCTATGGGTGAGTACCGTAATATGTATTGATACAACACTTCGTGACTTCAACTGTTGTCTCATTTCAGTTGAAGTCAGTAATTTATGAAGTTTATCGTGATCAAGGGTTATTTTATTTCCAATGTTCAAAATGAGTTCTTGTTTTCCATGACATGTGAGTAACTTTGACCAACAGGTGACCTTCTGGGCCAAGCCCTGAACAACCCCGAGAGAATGATTAGTGTACCCACAGGCTGTGGGGAGCAGAACATCGCTACGACCGTACCTAACATCTACGTCCTGCAGTACCTTCGAGCTACACAGGCTGGGGAAACTAAACTGGAGGCCAGAATGATAAAGAATATCAAACAAGGTGTGTTTCATTTACCTGAGTCATTCACTTGACTTATTGCAGTCTGTTTATGTCTGTGGGTTTATAAACTTTTGAACATATTTGGCTCCTCTCTTGATTAGCTTCAGTTTCAACCAATTTTTGTATATAACATATTAACGATTTGTCTAAATTCAGCAAGTAATTTTGTGAGATTTTAAATATATCTATAGAATGACTCCAGTATAAAGGAATAATTTTCATTGTTATTTTATAGAAAATTCTGGAATAAAAAAAATGCCTCCTGCATCTAATTTTTGGCAATAAAGAGATTTTATAAAAGCCTCCTGCCACATCTGTTTTAAGAGAATTGGCCTGAGAACTGTAATATCAATTTTATGTAGCCTAATCATGGGCATTTATCAAGCAAACTGTTTCCTTTCTTGATTATATCCAATACTTAGCACTCTATCAAAATTGTGAAATTTGTGGCACCTGGGGTACATTCATTTCAGGTGGGCTAAACTGGTCATATCCTGAGTAACTTATGATATTCGGGTGATCTTGAAGGCCCATGGGCCTCTTGTTTCTGAAAGCTGGGTAAAATGTTCCTTTGGGCTCTTATTGTTTTTACAGGTTATCAGCAGGAGTTACAATACAAGAGAACTGATAATTCCTTCAGTGCCTTTGGTATGTCTGATCCTGCTGGAAGCACATGGTATGTTCTTACAGATCACGTTCTCATCTTACTGACTTCTTTTTTCCCCAGCAAATAGAGTATGACCTATCTGGCCTTGCTAGTTAACAGTTATTTAAAGTAATAGGAGTTTTTTTCCACTAGGAATTTCTTTAAAACTTAAAGGAGGTACCATATATGGATCAAGTCTGTTTCAGCTCAGTGTTATAGATATGGATGATTTAATTGTAAGCATAAGTTGTTACAGATAAAATAATCATACATTTTTTTTTACGATCCAGGTTAACAGCATTTGTGCTGAAGTCTTTTGCGGAGATTCATAGGATACTACCAGATCTAGTGGACCCCAAAGTAATGCAGGGGGCCACTTCCTGGCTGAATAACCAAGTAGGGGACCGGGGACAGGTCAGTGAACCAGGGAGGGTCATCCACACAGAGATGCAGGTATATACAGAAGTCAGGTAGAATTTATAAAGAGTTGTTTTAGTCATTCAGAAAGCAAGGTTCGAGGCTAATTATGATCCATGTTGGCAGAATAAGAAAAAAGTACATTTTTTTATTTCATCTTTTTAGGTCACCTGAGTCACTCAGGTGACCTATTGCTATCTGTTTTTGTCCGTCGTCGTCCATCGTGTGTTAACATTTGAACATTTTCAGCTTCTTCTCTGAAACCGCTCAACCAATTTCAACCAATTTTGGCATATAGCATTTATGGGTGAAGGGGAACAAAAATTTGTGAATTTCATGGTCCCTGCCCCCCTGGGGCCTGAGGGGTGGGGCTAAAACCACCAAAATTAATGCAATCTTTAAAAATCTTCTTCTTTATTCCTGGACATCAAGCAGTCAAACTGTTGGCATGATTGTAATAAGCATTAAGCCCTCTACCAAAATTGTGAAATTCATGGCCCCAGGGTCAGGGGTTCTGTTGCTAGGGCGGGGCTATATAGATCATATAGTGAAAGTGCATTATTTCTTTGAAAATCTTCTTCTCTGCTCCTGGGTATTATTGAGACAAATTGAATACATAGTTATGATATGCAAGGGTGACTCTACCAAAATAATGAAATTCATGACCCCAGGGTCAGGGGTTCTGGTGCTAGGGTGGGGCTATATAGATCATATAGTGAAAGTGCATTATTTCTTTGAAAATCTTCTTCTCTGCTCCTGGGTATTATTGAAACAAATTAAATACATAGTTATAATAAGCAAGGATGACTCTACCAAAATTGTGAAATTCATGGCCCCAGGGTCAGGGGTTCTGTTGCTAGGGCGGGGCTATATAGATCATATAGTGAAAGTGCATTATTTCTTTGAAAATCTTCTTCTCTGGTCCTGGGTATTATTGAAACAAATTAAATACATAGTCATGATAAGCAAGGGTGACTACCAAAATTGTGAAATTCATGGCCCCAAGGTCAGGGGTTCTGTTGCTAGGACAGGGCTCTATTTATTATATAGTGAAAATACATTAATTCTTTTTTTTCTGCTCCTGGGTATTATTTAAACAAACTAAGTATATAGTTGTGATAAGCAAGGATGCCTCTTCCAAAATTGTGAAATTCAAGGCCCTAGGGACAGGGATTCTGGTGCTAGGGCAGGGCTATATAGATCCTATAGTAAAGGTGAATTATTTCTTTGAAAATCTTCTTCTCTGCCCCTGGGTATTTTTTAAACAAACTATGTACTTCGTTATGATACGCAAGGATACCTCTTCCAAAATTGTGAATTTCATGGCCCCAGGGTCAAGGGTTCTGGTGAAAAGAGAGGGGGGAGGCTCTATTGATTATATAGTGAAAAAGCAAAATTTCTTTTAAAATATTCTTTTCTGCTTCTGGTTAAAAAGCAAAGAAGCTAAATATATAGTTATGATGAGCAAGAGTGCTTTTTCCAGAGTAGTGAATTTCATGACCCCTGGGTCAGATGTGCTGGTTTAAGGGTGGCTCTTGATAATATAGTGAAAATGCATTAATTCTATTAAATATTCCTGTCTGCTCTTTAGTGTTAAGCAGATAAACAAAGTGATTACTTATGATGAGCAAACTTCTGGTCCCAGGGTCAGAGGCTCTGGTATTTCTTGGGGGGGGGGGGGGGGGGCTCTATTGATAATATAGTGAATCTATACTAAAAATGCATTATTTCTTTAAAAATCTTCTCTGCACCTGGGCATATCAGAGGCAAAAAGAGTGAAAGTTTTAATAAGGAAGGGTATTTTTACCAGATTTTTGAACATCTGGACTATTTGGTCAAGTGTTCTGGTCCTTGCCTGGGCTCTATTAATTTGTATTCTACTGAGAGGAGTTATTCCCCTTTGCCATTTACTTTTGATGATTAATCACTGTAAAGTATTTGAAAGGTTAATAGAATAAGAGAATTATGCAAGAATTTTTATTGTATAATGCAAAAAGTACTTTCATAGTTTAAATGATCAGTAGACTTGTAAGTAGTAGATAAATAAAAATGAGACAAAAATTACTTGTTTTATTAAATATTCATCAAAGACCAAGAGAGTCCAATGTAAGACATTTCCACAAGGAATTAAAATAGTACAGAAGCACTGATAGTTTGTTAATATACTGTATGGTGGTAGTGATAAATTGGGAACAGATTTGAACCTAATTTATGAACTGTTTATGAATACTAAACTAATTATTTTTTTGATCCCGATCACCCTATTTTTCTTGCTTTTGGGCAACAAAGTTTCACCTTTCAGTTCATTTTATACTCTAGGGATCCTCTAAATTGTTGCATTATACTCAGGTGACCGTTAAGGCCCTTGAGCCTCTTGATTCGCCAGAGTAAGGATAAATTTGAAAACCTAATTCATTCTAATGCAGACTGTCTGGGCAAATACTAGTAAATGCATGATTGTAGTCAATATCTAAAATCCAAGAATTGAAATGCTGAAAAAATCTGAATATATTTTGTAATTTATTGTTTACTATGTATGATATTAATTAACTACATTTTGTTTTACATGTCTCTATATAATTGAAAAATTCTCGAATGGGATGTAAAACAACAAAATCAATCAATCATTTTGTTTTACAGGGCAGTGGGGCCAATTCCAGGGAGAAGTTAGCTGCTTTTGTGTTGTACTGCTATACTGAAGTCATTGCAGAGTTTGGGTCATCCCAAGATGCTGTTAGTTACTCCAATATCACTAATTATAGCAATCAGTACAAAATTCAAAATAATAGAATATTCATTGATGTAGATAACTTATTTTTAGCTCACCTCAAGGAAGTTGGGGGAGCTTATGTAATACCGTCGGCGTAAGCATCCCAGGTTCAAGTTTTTGGAGCAGGTACTTTTATGCCCTATATCAATCAGAGGTGCATGGAGTATGTTTTATGGTACCAGTCAAGGTTTCAGATGTTGCAATTTTAGCTAAAGAAAGACCAGGTTAATGTTTTTGGAGCAGGTTAAAGTTTTTGGAGCAGATCTCATTTCCAAGTAACTGTATGTCCTATGTTGACCAAACATGCAAGGATGATACATTTAAGGATGCACAATACTGGACTTGCTTCGTATGCTGGAACTGACCTACATTTTCCAGATGAGTGACCAGGTTAAAGTTTTTGGAGCAGGTCTCATTTCCAAGTAACTATAAATCCTATGTTGACCAAACTTGCAAGGATGATACATCAGGATGCACACTACTGGACATGCTTCGGATGCTGGATCTGACCTACATTTTCTGGATGAGTGAACAAGTTAAAGTTTTTGGAGCAGGTTCATTCTAAAGTAACTATAAGCCCCATGTTGACCAAACTTGCATACATCTAAAGGTGCACACTATCAACCAGGCTTGCTCCGGATGCTGGATATACATTTTCCAGATAATGGACCAGGTTTATGTTTTGGGTGCAAGTCTATTACAAAGAGACTATAAGGTATTTCTGAACCAAAGTTGCAGCTACGGATGCACACTACTGGACGTGCTTCGGATGCTGGATCTGACCTACATTTTCTGGATGAGTGACCAGGTTAAAGTTTTTGGAGCAGGTCCATTGCCAAGAAACTATAAGGCCTATCTGAACCAAACTTGCATGGATGATGCACCAAGGGACGAACACTTTCAAACTTCCTTTGGATGCTGGATTCGATGTACATTTTCTGGATGAGTGACTAGTTTAAAGTTTTTAGATAAGTCCATTCCTAAGTAACTGCAAGCCCTATCAGACCAAAATTGTATAAATGTTACATCTAGGGATACACACTACTAGATTATTAGTTTAGTGTGGGACTTTGCCTTATTTAAAGACAACATTCATTGAGGTGAGCTCTGTAATCTCTGATTTCCTATGTTTGCTTAGAATTTTGAAGATTTTATCTTTTCAAATTTTGTTCATGCACTTGATAGGAACGACTTTATAACTTCATTGAATGGTGAGAGTAAAACGAAACCTTGTCACATGTTAGTCTCTGTCTGAATGCTGTCAAATCCTGTAAGTATATAGCGACAGTATGGAGATGTCAGTAATATTGTTATTTAACCCTACAGATTTATATTGCTGCAAGTCAAAAGATGGATGCTATTGAAACTTTCCTGAAGAGTAATCTCCCCTCGGCAGTGACCAATCCCTACTACACATCACTGCTGACATATGCCCTTGCAGTAGATGGGTCGTCAACAAGAGAAGTAAGCAAGATGGCACAACAACTTATGGACAATGCTACAACCTTCCTGGATGGTAATACCTCTTTCGTGTTTAATGTTGAAACTAATTATAACCTGCAAACCAAGTTGGAAAGGGGGGGGGGGGGGGTATATGGGAATCACCTTGTCCGTCTGTCTGTGAAACCTTGTCTTGGCTAGAACTTTGTTATGGGGAAACACTGGAAGCTCATATTTGGAACAAAGATTACTTGTGACCCTAGGGTGTCTCATGACCTTGAACCAAGGGCTGAAAAGTATAAAATTCTTGTCTGGGCTATAACTTTGTAAGGGAGAATCATTGGAAGCTCATACTTGGTACAGAGATTTTTCATGGCCCGAGAGTGTGTCATGACCTTGACCCAAGGTCATTCTGGCAAGTTCAAGGTCAAGGGATTTGACCACATGACCAACCTGTATTTATATCCCGATAAAAGGTGAAAGGTGATACTTTATTTCGGAAATAAAACATGTATGAAGACATTGGTATGCAGGGGGATATTTACACAAAATCTTTCTAATGGAGTATTTCAAATAGCATAAATTATCCCCACTCATAAATTTCCATGTATACAGAAGATGATTACTATTTAGAGCCATAGAAATCTTCATGATATATTTATGAGATAGTCATGGGTGCTGTTTTTAGATACATTTTGAGGTGAGCAAAGCTGTAGAGAAACTTCTGATACAGGGATGATTGAGTTTTATCCTTGATATGTTTTGGGTGGTGCAGTTTTTTTGCTACTGGAGAAGTAAAGTGTACTCTGTGAGATAATGTTTTTTTTATTACAAAAGCACTCAAATGTGCTTTATAAAAAATTTCAGGATGTTGATTTGATGAACTACTTTGATTTACAGGAGCTGTAGAGATGAAATGTCTGGGTGAGAACTGTAAGGGTGGGGACAGTGATGGGGGTACAGGAAGACCTATCCCCATGCTGAGGGACTACCAGGTTAAGGAGCCCTCTCCCTCCAGTATAGAGATGACGGGGTATCTCTTACTGACTCTACTGAAGACCGACAGATCAGACGACGCTCGTCCTTTCTTACGATGGCTCAACAGCAAACGGAACAGTCTCGGAGGCTGGTACTCCACACAGGTAACGGAACAGTCTCGGAGGCTGGTACTCCACACAGGTAACGGAACAGTCTCGGAGGCTGGTACTCCACACAGCAAACGGAACAGTCTCGGAGGCTGGTACTCCACACAGGTAACGGAACAGTCTCGGAGACTGGTACTCCACACAGGTGTGATATTAGATGTTTAGTACACCACACAGGTTTGATATTGGCAGGTGGAGCAACCAGAAAGCAATTAGACATAACTATGAATAGGGTATATACCCCAGTGCTGATATGGGAGATAGGAAAAATATTATGGAGTATAGCTATTTACGAGTCATTTTCAGCTTCAAGAGACCATCTATCATAGAGACAAAACATCAGAATAAACCAGGATGATATGTATAAAATTTGTATTTATTGTTTTGCTTCTAAATCTGTGATCTTTAAATGATATATTTTAACAATACTTCCAGGATACAGTAGTGGGCTTGAAAGCCCTGTCAGAATTTGTCAGGAGTCAATCAAACAACAGGAATATTCAGATTGATGTAGTAATAACAGCCAAACAGAATTCCGAAGTATTGAAGACCGAGACTATACAGATCACCCCGGAAACACGATTACTACTGCAGAGGGCAGAGGTAAGGTCACTCAAGTGTTAAATGTAGTGGAGACATGTGATGGTCTCAAAGTTTAGTGGGATGATCTCCGCAGTTACTATAGAGTCTGTGTCTCAAATCTGGCATGAGTTCAGGTACTTAATGACCATAGATGGATGTGACCTCCTCAGTTACCATAGAGTCAGTGTCTCAAATCTGGCATGAGTTCAAAGGTACTTAATGACCATTGATAAGTGTGAGAGTTCAAAGAGAAATAATAATCTACATTCTGTTGACAAGAAAAGGCAATTTTTGGTCTTTCACATATTTAGATACTTTTTGATATCCTAAACAATCAAATGTTTCTAAATTGTAATTTTTTCCCCCACATATTAAGGCTATTTTATGAATAGTTAATCAGAATGCACAGCATATATCTATTGTCTAGGGCAAAGAGAATTCTTAATTAAGATAACTAGATGTGATATAACTTTCCTTTTCCAGTTTCCTATCGATACAACCAGCCTGGAAATCCGTCCTAGTCAAGCCGGAGAAGCTGTTCTTAGTGTAGGGAGCTTTTATTATCTTGTTTTTATTATTTTGTAGTGTACAACAGTTTTTTCTTGGTAGCTTAGAAAACATCTGTGTACTTTTATAACTAGAATTTGTCCATTATCTGTCTTTCAGTAAACATAATAATTATGTTCCCCAAACGAAGTTTGGGAACATATTGTTTTTACTCTGTTTCTTATTATTATTATTATTATTATTATTATTATTCTTTTTTTCTACTTTCTTCTCCGGTACTTTTTTGTCCGGGAGTGTTCTCATAGAACCACTCATCCGATTGACATGAAACCTTTTTAGGGTTAATAGGCATGTTGTGTAGGTGTGTGGAACGAAGGTCATTTTGCGCGCACATGCATGCACGTGCGCGCGCGTGCAATGATTGAAATGACTGATATACTTGATGAAGCCGTAACTTTTATATTTCTTGATCAATTGCTTTGAAACTCAAAATATAAAGATATATTAGTAGTCTAGACAAGACAACATGGTCAAATTAGCGTGAACTCACGCGCATGCATGTGCGCTCTTCTCTGATTGGCTGATACAAAAATCTCAATAATTTCCTTGTTTTTTGACAAAATACTTTGAAATTTAGAATATAAGTATATATTATAAGGTGCTACAACATGTTATATAGGAAATTTCTTGAAAACACGCGCATGCAGGTGTGCTGCAAACTGATTGGTTGAAACTTTAAATGTCTTTAACTCCCTTGGTTTTTAACAAAACAGGATGAAATTTAAGACATGGATAGGCACATAGAGCTCCTACATTATGATACTATCAAAATTGAATGCAAGGCCATGCATGCGCGTATGCTGAATTTTGATTGGCTAATACTTAAAGGGTTACATCTCTCTTATTTTTCAATGAAATTCTTTAATATTTAAAACAAATGTATGTATTGTGAGACACTATAAGATAATTAATGTAAAAAATGTAGCTATTAGATTGGCTCATACCCATATGGCTATATCGGAGTAGTTTTCCAATGAAATACCCTTAAAAATAAAGTGTCCATCTATATTACAAAAGTATTGTCTAATTTATTGAAGCTTGTAGGGAATGGGGCATCACAAGGGATTGGGGAGCCGTTTGGGGAACATCTGTAACGGTTCCCGTTACAATTAGCACTAGTTCATATTGTATAAAAAGTAGACTTCAAGTTTGTCACTTCAACAATTGGACATGGACAAAAAAATGCCATTACAGTCAGGTTAAAGATGCCTTTAGAACACACAATAAATTACTTTGAAAAATGCTATCTAGTAGTACATGTATATTTATTTTGTCATTGTAATACTAATGCTATATGTTATATTGAACAGGTTGTGTGGCAGTATAATCTTGTGAATGATTTGATAGATAACGACCTCCAGGTTACCATTGGAAAGTATACGATAAACGACAACATATATGACATCAACCCATGTGTTAGGTAAGAAATCTATGACAGCAACAAAATACATATTTCCTGCAATTAAAAGTTTAGTTTGTTCAATAGGTAATAAATATATTTTAAATTTTAGCTCCACTGGAGCTTATGCCTTAGTAGTGTGTCCATCATCCATCCACCTGTCTGTCTGTATACAATTTTTAGAAAGCTATTCCTCATTCTGTTTTGGTTGTATTTCAAAAGACTTGGTGCACAAGTACACTGTAATAAAATACATAATTCTTTGATTTGGTTTTTAATTTCGACAAACAGTGTTGCCGTGGTCACCAAAGATAGAAATTTCTTTGTAATTCTTTAATAAAAATGTGACTCCTCCTACAGTTTTTGTCCCATTTCAGTAAGAATTGGTACATGTACACAAATAGACTATACTAAGATATATAATTCTTTTTATCATTTTTTTATTTAGTATAAAAAATGTTGCCATGGTTACTAAAAATAGAAATTTCTGTGAGATTCTTTCATAATGCTATTACTACAGTTAAAATCTGATTTCAATAAGACTTACCGTAAATTGGTACAGAAGTAAACTTTACTTAGATAAGTTATTCCATTTATTTGTCCTTAAATTTTGACTATCATGCAATGTTGCCATTTTTTAATAAATAGAAATCTCTGTCAAATTCTTCAAAGTATTTTTCCTCCTACAGTTTTGGTCAAATTTCAATTAGACTTGGTACACATGTAGACTATGCTAAGAAACAAAGTAAACACCAGTAGAGCTACAGTCTCATCAGACTTCTGGTGTCTTTTTGTTCAGGTACCTGGGATCTGGTCCCAGTAACATGGCTCTGGTATCGGTTACCATGGGATCAGGGATGATGCCTGATGTGGAAAAACTGGAACAGAATTCTAAGCTGTCAAAAGTAGAGGTTGATGGATCAGTGGTCCATATTTACTTAAACGAGGTGAGAATTTTACCCACAAACAACTACTCAAAACACAATAAGATTAACTATATTTTGTGAATTAATTTATCATTGCCAAGTGTTGTTTTAATGGCCCACAGAATTTTAATGTGAAGAAATTGCATATGATATAATTAACAGTATTATTTTCCTTTATAGTTTAGAATTTTTATAAGCTCATATTAGCTGAAAACCTGAGTTTTGCCAATCAGAGTGTATCCATGAAAGAAGCTAGAATAAATCTGCAAGTTTCTAAGTTTACTTGAGTTCTTGCCCTTGGACTTTAAAAATTTCTTTTGTGTAATTAAAAAAAAGCTGAACTTAGAAAAATAGTTCAAAAGGTCAAAACACATACTGCTGCTGTTAAAGATGGATGTTTGCTTTTTGAAAGATCACTTTAGAATCATTTAGATATTTGTCAATAGCAATAAATATAAGTACTGCTGTAACTTTAATAACTGTAATGTCTGTTATTTATAGGTTACCAAGGAAAGCCAGTGTATGAGGTTCCGAGCTGTACAGGTATCAAAAGTTACAGATGCTAAAGAAGTCCCTGTCAAAGCCATGTTGTACTATGAGCCAGGTCAGTAGACATATTTTTATGAATAAACTTTATCAGTAGAAGATGATGAGCAATCAGGTTCACCTGGCTTAAGCTCCCACCCAGGGGCTAATGTGTTTTAGGTTTGGTTGCTTTTTATTGTGATATAATTTTGGAAGGGAAAGATTTGTAATACAAATAAAAATACTATTGTATACTAACAGCACTGTTTTATGATAGCTCTATATATTTTATAACTTACAGATGCAATAATTTTTCAACTTGATGAAAAAGTAAACAAATGGTTTATTCTTTAGATAATTGGTAAATTAAGATTTATGATGTTATATTTCTGAAGGTTTTTGTTTACTTTATATAACATACAGAGGTGTCAGCGGTAGTATCCTACAACCCCTCAACCTCCAACAGAGTGAATTTCTGTGTTGATCAGATTTGTGCACATGCTGGTCATGTGACTCCACTCAGCCTCTTTTTGGTGATCACTGTGTCATTGGCAGCCATGTTCTTTGGGAGACATATCAACTGAGAGGGGACATGCATCAACCTTAATTTGATCAAAGAAATTAATTAGCCCTTAGATTATCTAGATTTTTTGACAGTTATATGTAAAGATTTGTCATAATTTGAACAGAGATGTTTTAATGAGCTTAAATATATTTAGATTTTATGTATTGTAGAGATTTTTAAATTTGCATAATATTATCCTGTAATTTGTTCAGGATGTATGTGGGAAATGTTGACATAACATTTATCAACTTTATTTATGTTTAATTACAATTTAAAAAGTAAATGTGTAAAATTTATTTTGGAAATTTATGAATTTTGATTTTTAAATTATTTTTTAATGTAATTTTTACAACCAAAGTTAAGCAGTAAACATGCCAGGAATTTTTGACTGGATTTTAGAAACTTTTGTTATGTTTGTGGTCGTTTTTCATATGCTTGAATGTTTTGTCTTTGTTAACTTTCTAGATTTCCCATTTTTCTGTACAGAAAGTAAAATTTACTGAAACTTTACTGTACAGTCAAATTAAAAAATGCACATATTTAGTACGCAGTCAACATTCCAATGTTTTTTTTTTTCCTTTTAAACATGTACATTGCTGTATTTAATGTATTTTGCATAATTCATAGTTTAACACCTGAATTTTAGAGATGATGTTTGGACAAGTTATATTCTTCATATTAGGGAGATCAGAGGTTAAATGTAATTTATTAACTAAGAAATTTTCTACCTCCATTAATGTTCCATTCACTTGCAGATATTTTTGTTTGATTTTAAAAGTGACACATTAATCAAATAATGAAATAGTTCAGTGTTAAAAACAACTGAAATTCTGTTATCTTATTATTACTTGGTAATTAATCCATTTATCCACTAAATCTGAGACACAGAAGAATAATGTGATAACTATATACATGTACTGTATGTTAATTGACTCCGCAGTTGTCTGTAATGTTTTATGCTCAGCTTTTCAAGGTTGTAATCACAAATACAGTAAAACATTCTTATAGCAAAGTGTCAGGGAGAGACAACTTCTGAATGTAATGAATTATATCAAATTCAGAATATAATTACTTTGCTGTAAGTTGAATTCATTATACATGTTTAACTGTATTTGAAAATCCCTTCTAAACCCTTATTTAGACAATACATGTATATTCAGGAACCTGCAGATTGAGGAGTGATCCTTTTCATCTATTTTTTATGGAAATAATCTAAATATATCTTGAGAATTTGGACTTTTGTTATGATCACAGAAGTAGGGAATTTGAATACGATATGAATATATATATATATATATATATATATATATATATATATATATATATAGTATATAGTACTTAATATCTAAAGTGGAAATGATTTGAGGCTGGTAATATTCATATTTATACCTTGTAGTCATAAACATTTCCACCAAATATCATTCTTGCTTTTAATGCAGAGATTATAAATATTTATAAGAAAAAAGAGGGTTCCATTGTACAAATGATTGAGAAAATATCTAGAATATTTCTAGACTTTGTAAAACTATGAAAAAATCATGCAGGCATGACATGAAATCCAATTATAATTGTAAGTTTACATTTATATATTTGTAACAAGAGTATTTTTAAAGAATTTTGTTTTTTACTTCATTGATTTCTGCATTTTTGAAGTACTACGTATATTTTCCCTACAATTTCTGTATATGTCTTGTATGTTTGTATATTTCTCTATTTCTTTTTATATTTTCTCTAATACTGACAACTATAAACAGAATATACTTATGTTATTGTCTATATTTAGCATTAAACCTTATTGTATCTTGTAATAAAATTTTCTCAATTTTTCGGAATTTCTTTTTATAGGTCAAGACTTCTATATTAATACATGTTACATTCATCTAGCTTTTTGATGTGTAAAATATTCAATGTTTACCCCCAGCCATGAATATGGTTGAGGCATATATATATATAGTGTTTGTCATGTCTCTCTTCCATTCTTCTGTCTTTCTGCCCGGTGTCACACTGCATTTAGCTCAGTTTTTAAGAAACTGTTCAAGATATTTTAAAAATTCATACGTATTGGTGAAAGCTACTGAACTGTGCCATAAGTGTTTGACTTTGTCCTTCCATGTGACCCTGACCTCACTATTCCCTATTTTGTGTTTCATTCGATCGAAAAAAGGTTGAAGGCCAAGGTATTTATATATTTTGGATATATTGCATAAAGTGGTGACGTTCTGGTCCTGGGACAGACTGAGTTTCAAAAAAGGTGTTCAAGATATTTTGATAACACTGTACACTGATACAAATTGGCAAGACAATTAAAATATGTTTCCCTGATGCAATACAGATGTATCTTTGGAGGGGCATTTATTCCTATGGATATATTTCTATACCAAAACCAGAGGATGAAATAAATAAATGAAATAATACAATCATTCTTAGTACTATGTCAGGTGGTGTGGTTACATTGTAAAATAGAAACCCTCATGCAGAATTTTAAGGAATACATCATGAATATGGAGTTTTTTTCATCATCTTTAAAAAAAAGTCTTTTTTAGCTTAAATGAAGCAGAGATTATGTGTCTTCATAAGTTTTATGTAAACTTTTAACATTTGCATCTTCTCAAGAATCAGTGAATCAAGCGATATTGCTGCAAATTGGAAGGCAATACTCTTTTAAACACATTGTCTGGCATCCATCTGTCAGACCCCATCTTTTTAAGTTTTCAACTTTCAACTGGGCCTATTTTAACAAATGAGATTTTAAATTGTTCAAATGAAGGGCCAAGCCCCTTCCAAGGGGAGATAATCAAAAAAAAAGTGGAATCATAAAAAAAAATTCTCAAGACCCACTGGGCCAGAAAATATAAATCTTTTGTGAAAGCTTCCAGAGGTAGTGTAGATTTTTTAAAACTGTGAGAATGGGGCTACAATAGGGGATCAGTTTTACATTTATTTAAAATATATAGGAAATGTTGTTAACTATTATCAATTTCATGAACCATTGGACGAAAAAAAAGAAACATTTGAAAGCATCCTGATGTTGTGTAGAATCAAAATTGTTCAAATCATGCCAGTTGGGTTAAGGTGGGGTTACAATAGGGGTTCAGAGTTTTACATTGAAATACATTGAAGAAAATCTTTTCAAAAATCTTCTTTTGGACCAGTAAGGGTGAAAGATTTCTGACATTAAATGTAGATTCTGAATTGTTTAAATTTTGGCTTCCTTGAGGAGGGTGGGTCACCATAGGGGGTCGAAGTTTTACTTTGGAATAAAAAAGAAAAAAAAATTTTTTTAATCAGAAAAGTTGAAACTTGTGTAAAAGCTTTCTAAATAAATATAATGTTGATTCTAAATTGTTAGATATTATGGCCCAAGGGATATGATAGAACCACAATAGGGGAAGTTTTATATTGGACTCTGTAAGAAAACATTTTGTAAAAAAAAAATTATCGGATGAAATTTTACATAATGCATGTATACAGGAAAAGAATTTTCTTCTTCATAACCACAAGGCCATCTTAGTCATATTGATATTGAAGAATCTCCATGATGTATGGAATTAGAGACCCTTTAGAATTAGGTTGGAGCCATGATATAGGGTCATTATTTTTTATGGGAATATAAAAAATCTTCTTGAGAACAGCAGGGCTGAAGCAGCGTTTTCCCTAAGACCTGGGGCCAGGGAATTACCCAATCTATAATGATATTATCCCCTGGCTACTCTGGTACTCCCCCTCAACACCTTATTAGGGGAGGAACCCCCAAATCCCCTTCAACTTTTTAATGTCCCCTGCTATTTCAATTCTCAGGGACAACCCTGCTAAAGTTATGCTTAGGTGAGCAGTGTGCCCATGGGCCTCTGTATTCAACAGAATTGAGAAAAATAGGGCTGGGTCCTTTAAAAATCTTCCCAAGAACTACTGGGTCAAAAAAGACTTGCATTATGTAAAAGCTTCCTGATATAATGCAGATTCAATTTATTCAAATCAAAGCCCTGCAGGTGCAAGTGTGGAACCACAGTTGGAGATAAAGTTTTATGCAGTAATGTTAAGGAAAAATCTATATTTTTTTTTTCCAAGAACAACTGGGCCAGAATATTCATTCTTTAGATTAAAGTTTGTTTCAAATCATTGGCTAGCGTTGTCCCACAACAAACTTTTTGATACATGTATGAATACATGCATTTGAACATTATTTCTAATTATATAGAAGTGCAAAGACAGTTTATCAGGTATTGCATTTATCCTTTAATTTAAACTGATGATATGACTATTACTGTAAATGTATTACATTTGGCTGTATATTCTATTTAGTGCCTTTAGCGGAAAGCAGCCTCCGCTAAATCAAATACATTGCTATATGTTTTTTGTACATTTGTTCATGAAGAGAACATTCAAAAAGCGCTAAATCAAATCTACCTGTTGAAAATTCACTTTCTATCCAGTATCGTACAGGCCATATAAAATACATTTACAGTAACCTATTCTGTATTGTATGAATCATTAGATGTTGTAACCAATCCTATCATGTACGGTATCACAGATGACATCGCAGGTACTGCACTACTAGACTGACAGCAGACAAACTGGATGCATGGTGCTTGACAGTGGGTTTTGTGTTGAATTTATAGTTAGATCGATAATTTTCATGGAGTGATTTACTCACAAATATTGACAGTGTTTGCAATGACTTCATTTTAAAATGTTTTATTTATATTTACATAAAAACTTTTAAATAAGCTCAAATGTATTAATTTGTGTGATTAATTTGTGGTGAGTATTAAGACTAAATTCATGGAGTTGTTGAGCAGACTGCCATGGAGTTAGTTTCTCTAGCATACTATATTTTTTGTTTAATTCAGAGTATTTCTTGATTTTCATTCTGGTAGAAATTCCAATGTAATATGAGAATCATAGGCAATCACACAAAACAAATAGAGAAGAAATGATTCAAGGTTCTGAAGTGCTTCTTCAGGATTTTTTTTATTTGTTTGACTAATTTAGAATAAATTCTTTTGAATGTTTGGCAGCCAAACTTGAAATTGTCATACACTTGTGAAAATGATCGAGCCACCACTGTGTATATTTAGTTTGTCTATTTACACTCTGCTTTAAGACCTGAGAGTTTATTTTGATAGTTATGTCATTATTATGTGAGGTGACTATTTATTCATTGTGATTTATTTGTATCAGGCCATGGATTGAGTACACACCATGGGCACGTAAAGAACTCCGAGAACATGCTCGGTGTCAGA